TTCGGAATGGGCAGAAACTCGCGTGGAGAGCCGCGGCGTGCAAGGAAACCGCCAGCACCGTGATAAACAGGACTTGTTGTGGGAACGTCATGGCTCAAGGCATCGTGGTACAAGAGTCAAGAGGAGGCCAGCCGACTATATAGCTGCAGGAGAGCTGGTGTGCCACCTAGAGAGAGGAACAGCCGGATCGGGGAGCCGAGATCGAGAATGCATTGGTGCGCAAGATGTCCCTTTTATGAAGCGAGTGGCATCAGTGCCCTGTTTCATGTCTTGTTGGTTGTTTGCCGTTTCATTCTGCACGGCTTAGGTGTGGTTTGTCCGTCAGAATATTGTCCGTGGCTGAATGGATTTTGCTTATCTTGGAGGAAATTTATTTGTGTTTTCAGTTCTGCTCGTCGGGAGACGTCTTCCTGTGCCACACGCATGGTCCCATGGATATACTACACACAGCCAGATAGACCTCCAAGCCTGGCACGTCGCCAAGAAGCACGTGGTTGTGGTAGATGCCACGGCCTTCGCCAAAGCAAGACGAACGCCTCGCCTGCCTGCTGCTGCCAACAACGCCTCACACAAAACTGGAAGGGGTGCTTGTATGCCAACCGGCATCGCCACCCACGGAAACATTCTACCATAATACATGTCAACCGCCGCGTGGTGCGGACCCTCCCGTCAAGGGCCAGCATGATCTGTGTACTAGACTAACTAGCTGGACTACGTACCGACACCAATGGGACTCCCCACCCTTCCCTCCGCCGTCGCGTTGCCATGGGACACACTGTGGTGCGTTGCAGAGGCTGCCCGTTGGCACGGCGGAAACAACAGCCCGGATGCCAAATGATTTGGATCAGCGCCGGTACCATCTTGCTGCTTTCCACCCCTGTGGCGGGCAGACGCTGCCCCATGATCTTGCTCACTTCGAATAACGAGCTCGACTTCCGCCACACCGTTAGCAAGCATCGAAAGAAGTCGTTTACGAAGATCAGTTCTTGGTGTGGTTGTAAAGGGCATGCGGAATTCGTGATCTCCCAAAACCAACCAACTGACCTGCGAAAATGGCCAACTGCTGTGGCGAAGACCTTGTACCCTGGACTAGACTGAGGATTTGATATTGTTTTCTTCTTGTTCTTGGTCAGAGAGGCAATGGAGAAACCCGCGATCCTGCGAGACTGCTTCTGTAAGTATCGCGTGAATGGTTAAACGTCTTTCCGAGGGGTTGTTCTCGTCAAGTTTCGACAACAGCTTTTTCTCACTCGGTCGAAAGAATGATTGAACGACGCAAGACCCAGGCATCGCTTGCCGGTAATGGGCTATAGTCAGTCCCATGGTCCTGTTGTGCACGGCAGCAACGTTAACACGAAGCGTGCATCATTCACTCGTTCGACCCCGCTTGCCCGAGACGAGACACCCTGGACACTTTCGAACCGGCCCATGGCGAGGAATTGTCGATCCGTGGCGTCTACTCAAGCTCTGCCGGGTGTCATGTCTCGCAATGTCACCATTCTATTCACTGCAGGAATCAGATGGATGTTGTCTGTATGAGTATCGGGTGGTGCGCCACGGCGGTTGTGTATTGCATTTCCTGGTTGTATTTCCGAATACGCCGACACTCTCATCATGTACCTAACCTATTTGGCCGTTGCCGACAACGGCGTGCAATGTTTCCAAACTTTTGGATCCTTACCGACGCGGGGCCTGGCAAGTCGGGCTGAGCTGCAAGAATTTGGAAAACCACTTCAGATGAAGGTGCCGTCAAGTTGCTTTCTTTGTATCGACAATAGTTTTTTGAATGTCTGGACGAGTCCTAATTGTTTAGGTATTTTCCAAGGGTCTTGGAGAAAAGCACTTCAGGAAGACCAATACACTGTAGGCGTTGTACATAATTCCACGGGCCTTTGTTTACATTATGACGGTGGATGTGATGATCTCGGTGCTTGCCGTAGAATTCAATGTTGTCGCACGGGCTGTTTGTTCAGTTGCGTCGGGAAGCCAAGTTGCGGACGTGATGTTGTGGTCTCGCAATTGCTGTGGTTTTTGTTCAGGTAGGTGGTGGTGGTGGTGACGGTGATGATAATAGTGGTGGGGATGGTGATAGTGATGGATATGGTGATGCTCTTGGTTTGTTAATCTTGGCCTTGAGATCGTGTTGCCCATGAGAGTATTGTTGAGGAACGACTCTATTTGGTACTCCGAGCTCCTTTGGCTCTACACGCACCGATGAACGGATTTTCGGAGTGGGCACAGACTAGAGCGGAGAGCTGCGGCGTGTAAGGGAACAGCCACCACCGTGGTACACAGGTTATTTTTTGGGAGCATCACTGCCCACGGCCTTTTGGCACAAGAGCCAAGAGGAGGCTAGCCAAGTACGAGCTAAGGAGAGCTGGTGTAGGACCTGGACGGAGGAACCACGGAGCGGGGGAGCGGGGAAAGAGGTTCTGAACAAATGTGCAAGGGGACGCTCATAGCAGCGCAGCAAACAATCGTGACCTGTAAATTTTTCTTGTGGCGTTGTCCTATTTGAATTTTTGCCGCCTTGGGGTTCTCCGTCAGAAGCTGGTAGGTCGCCTAATGTCATTGGTTTGGCGACTGTTCGTGAGGAACTTCAACGTTTGTTTCCGGGCTTTCTCAGTACAGTAGTAGACAAGCAAATGTGATTTTCAAGAGTATCGTGGCCACGGCGTCCGCCAAAGCAAGACCAACGCTTCGCCTGCTCATGACAACTTCGACTCCACCCGAAGGAGCTGCTTTCATCGCTCGCTAGAAACGAGACATCCTTCCCTTCCCGCCTTCACCGCCCGAGGGAAAGGGATTACCGATTCCATTCGTCGAGTCTATGTAAGCTCTGCTGTGTTTCATGCCTCGCAATAAGGAACAGGCTATTGTTTTTTTTTATACCAAACTTTGAAGAAGAAGAGCTGGTCGTTAGATTTTGTCGGAGATATGCCGGCATTCTCGTCACTATGGTCGTGGACGGTGCTATTGGTGCGTTTGTGGTGGTTTCAGTGTTTTTTTGGGGGGGTACTTTGATGTCCCTGTCGACGTTGTTGCTTCATTCACGAGATGGGTTGCGGAGGTGTAGCTTGGCACTGTGCGGCATGTGGCTTTTACTATGTCGTTGTGCTATTTCTCATTTTAATGAGGTGCGTTGGTTGGCTACGCATGAAGTCCAGGGCATGGCTAGCCTGTGTGTGGTGTCGGTAATTTATTCATTGTTTGCGGGACGGGCAACTATGCATCTCGGAACTACCATATGACCGGAAGTGTTCCTTCAAACGTGACTATTATTACAGCTGGCGGTGGTACGAGCATTGTCGTCAGAATACATACGTGGATGAGCGCAACTCGGACAAGAGGCATTGTTCCAGGTGTTGATGACGCGATAGATGAACAGGCGTAGGAAATGCCGTGGCAAAGGACCAGCAGGATGTATCCGCGACCAAATCTTTACTGCGGCATTGTTTCAACCCATATATGACCCAACAATGACATTAGACCCGACCAAAAGTTGTTTTTTCTGAGCAGTGGAGCTCTCAAAATCTCTCGTTGTTGCTGCTGCCGTTAGTGTGTGTGTGTGTGGGGGGGGG